CATCTTGCTTTCCAGTAAACTTTGAACTTCAAAAATTTAAATGGCGGCAATTGTTATCTGATGACTCGTAAACTGTCCTTCTTTTATTGTTCTTTCTCCTTAATACTATTTTTCTCAAATTCTCTAGCCCTAGGTAACGCCTTACCGTTAGAGTTGAAGAAGACTTTAGAAGTAACCAGAAAACCAATCCTAAACAGGGAACAAAGGATAAACTTCTACTCCGGCTCAAATATCGGGGATGAGTAGTGTGAAGTGGGGATAAGCGAACCAACGAAAAAAAATACCTTGAAAAAGTTGGAGAAAGAAAGAAAATAATGAATCAAAACTTGATATAATTAGAAGGCGGGAATAAAGCATAACAAGACATTTGAGAATTCAGAAAAAATAAAATGAAATATTATTATAATATTTTTTTATTATAAGGGATTATAATAATTTTTCTTTAATCACAACAAAAATGACTCGTGATTCAATACTATGATTAAACTTCCTGATGCGATGGTTGGTGATGAAATACAAGTTACCATTACTATTCAGCTTATTTCATATATATATATATATATATATATATATATATATATATATATATATCAGAGATTATATTCAAAACATTTTAAATCGCTACGCAAAAACTTTCATGTTTCAATACTATGATTATACTTTCTCATGCGAAGATTTATTATGAAATACAAGTTACCAATGCTCTTAGGCATATTTCCCATATATATATATATATATATATATATATATATATATATATATATATATATATATATAAATTTGACAAATTTGAAATCAAATCACCGTGCTGATAACAAATATGGCGCCAGTTTGTTTACATAGCGCAGATCAATAAGAAAACTCAGTGATCGCGCAGGTCAGTATTGCCAAAGTTGTGTAAAAATTTTGTGTGAATTGATTGGACGGTTTTTGAATTATTAGAAAAAAGTTAACTCGATAATAATTTGGCACGCAGTGTATATATATATATATATATATATATATATATATATATATATTTTTATTATAAGAGGTTATAATAAGAACATTTTAAATAGTTATACAAAAGCTTTCATGTTTCAATACTATGAGTGTACTTCCTCAGCTGATATTTGGTAACTGGTGATAAAAAAAAGATTTTTAGGGAAATTTCAAAATAAATCGTTACCTCCTTTCCAAATGTTAATGGTGGTGGGCATAAAGTTGCAATTCAAAATATATTTCTGGGTATGTCTGGCTTAATCAATTAAATGTCAGATCTACGCTAAATAGAATAATAAGTTATTTTTTCACGTCACGCTAAACCGGCACATAGACATGTCATCATTGACATTGCGGAGAATAACATCGCTTTATTGTTGCCAAATATGACGTTCCATCTGTTGAAGTGGTGGCATAGTTCAATCAGACGTAACGTTATCAGAAAAAATATAATTAGAAAGAATAAAATGATACAAGGCATATGAGAACCCAGCAAAATAAATAAAAGGAAATATTATTATAATATTTTTTTATTATAACAGATGACAATAAAAACATTTTACGCGTCGATTGTTTGACTTAAAACAATCATTCCTTTCAAACCGTGAATTGAAGGTCGTTCTCATCGGATTCTCCTCCAGTTCCTATGCCACGAACGCAGGAGTTCCACAAGGCTCCATCCTAGGCCCCACTCTATTCCTTATCTACATAAATGACCTTCCTGACGCCATAAATTCCCAAGTTGTCATCTACGCGGATGACACCACAATTTATTCCTGCCTTTAAAAACAAATCTAGTGTCACTGACAAAATTAACCTGGCTGTGCGTCTCGAAAAGGACCCCCAATCGGTTATGAACTGGGGCAGGAATTGGCTGGTCAATTTTAATGCTTCCAAAGCAAAACTGCTCTCTATTAATCACCACAGAGATCCTTCCCTGCCCTCCATTAGAATGTCTGACGCTCAACTTCTCGAGAGCAACTCTCTGCGGCTGCTCGGTCTCACGTTGACTGCTGACCTGAGATGGAACTAATACATTGAGTCAATTGCTTCGTCCACCGCAAGGAAAGTTGTCTCCCTGTGCCGCGCCAGGAAATTTTTCTCCCCGGAATCGATCCTCCAGATCTACAAATCAACAATTCGCCCTTGCATGGAGTATTGCTGCCATATATGGTCTGGAGCTCCTTCTGTTTGCCTCGGGGTTCTTGATAGGCTCCAGAGGCGGATGTGCAATATAATTAACCCTGATCTGGCATCTCGTCTACATTCACTTTTCTCACAGACGCCTCTCTCTGTCTGTTTTACAAATACTTTCATGGCAATTGCTCCGAGGAGTTGCATTCTCTGGTTCCCAGACTTCATGTGTTCAAGCGCCCTACGAGGCTGGCAACCCGCTCTCACCCCTTCATGGTCGAAACACCTAAATGTAGTCGTCTCTTCTACTCCAATAGCTTCATATCTCGCACCTCTCGCCTGTGGAACTCCCTTCCATATTCCAGTTTCCCTGAGAGCTATAATCGCCAGCTATTCAAATGTGATGTCAATCGACATCTCCAGTTGCCTTGGTCCATCCATTAACCTTCTCCTCATCCTTTCTGCTATCACTCCTATCTGATCTTGCTCCAAATTTTCTGTAACCCCTTGCGTCCTAGTGGCTTCCCGCCTTGCTTCGGGTGAAACGCTTAAAAAAAATCGCAAACAAAAATTTTCATGTTTCAATACAATGATTGTACTTCTTCAGGTGATGGTTAGTAACTGGCGATAAAAATGAATTTTAGGGAAATTTAAGAACAAATCATTTCCTCCTTTCGAACGTTAAAGGGGTGGGCATAAGGTTACAATTCAAAATAGACTTGTGGGTATGTCTTGTGTAACCAAATCAATGTCAGACCTACGCTAAATAGAAACATAATGTCAGAGGGTCGAGTTTGGTGAGTTATTTTTTTAATGTGACGATAAACCGGCACTATGAAATTTCATCATTGCGGGGAACATGCCACAGACAGACGTATCGTGATTACAGACAAATAGGACGTTCCATTTGTTGAAGTGGTGGGGTAGGTTAATCAAACGTAAAGTTATCAGCAACCATTTAAGCAAATGATTTTATATTCAGGAAGCTTCATAAAGGGGCCTATGGATGAAAATTAAAAATGTGGAACATCGACATAGGATGCTGATAAAAATTAAACAATAAGGAAATAAAGGTGCAGAGATTGTTTGAAAATAAAGGATGTCGTTTACGACTGAAATGAAAAAAAGCAACAACAGTTTGAAAATAAAGGAATGGAAGAAATAATGAAATGTAAGAGGAATTAAGAAACTGTTATGGTCTAGGTTAGGACCAAGGAAAATCAACACGAATACAAGAGTAGAAATAAAGAAGGTATATTACACGAAATAATAATACAAGATGTGGAAGGTGTTAGTATGACTGTCAGTCTGGTTTGGAGTGAACAACTATCGGCTCGACTCGATTCGATATTTACTTGCCCCCACCCCCACAAGAGAAAAATGTGGCACAAGGCCGAGTTTAACGTGTGTTTCCCGAGCCCGTAGACTCGGCCAAAAAATGCCCGTAGAACCCGTATAAACGCGTTTCGGGTTGGTCAACCTCCCCCAACGAGGCTCTGCTCTTCCGCGGAGCTTCGTCTGGGTTCCTCACTGCTCAGAGGCAGAGAGTTCGATCGTCAAGCCGATCTTCTCGGCTTGATTCGGTATCTAGCCACCCACTCCCAATTAGGGTTGCATATGGCACAAGGCCGGTTTTCCTGAGCCCGTAGGCTCGGTCAAAAAATGCCCGTAGAACCGGTATAAACGGGATCGGGTTGGTCAACCTCCCCGAACGTGATTTTGCCCTTCGGCGGAGCCTCGTCCGGAATCCTCTCTGCTCAGAGACAGAGAGTTCGACCGTCAGGCCGAGAAGCTCGGCTTGATTCGGTATCTAGCCCCCCACTAGGGTTGCATGTGGCACAAGGCCGTGTTTAACGTGGGTTTCCTGAGCCCGTAGGCTCGGCCAAAAAATGCCCGTAGAACCCGTATAAACGGGATCGGGTTGGTCAACCTCCTCGAACGAGACTCTACCCTTCGGCGGAGCCTCGTCCGGCTTCCTCTCTGCTCAGAGACAGAGTTCGACCGGTTAGCCGAGAAGCTCGGCTTGAAACTACCCTTTCTCTTGAAAGAACAAGTATACATAGTGTTAGGAAGAGTTCATTCTTTAGTTATAGGTAAGGTCCCATGACAGAAACAGTAAAGGTAACAAAGAAAAAGAAATAAAGAAAACACAAAAAGGACAAATATTACACGATATAAAACAAATAAAGACAAAGAAACTAGGGAGAGAAGTGTAAGAAAGAAATATAAAATGAAAGAAAGATATCAAATATGACTCGAAAGTAGAATAAATTTGTTTTTTAAATTAATTTCACCCCAATCAAAGTATATATATATATATATATATATATATATATATATATATATATATATATATATATATCGGCTTGATTGAGGAATCGCAGAGCCGAGTTCGAATCCAGGTTGAATCCATTACATTCACTTACGTACTAATACCTTTGGGAAATATTTGAATCCTCTTCTTCTCCCTCCAGCTATGGGTAAAATAGCAGGACAGACTGGGTTCTATAGCCTTGGATGGCAACTGGTCTAGGAGAAGAACAACTCTGAATTCAAAACCTGAGGAGGGTTGTTTCTGTATTCGGCCCTTCAAAAGTGTGGATGGTCCTGCACGAAACATTCACCACTATAATCGAATCTCATGTGCCGGTGTCGGGCTGTCAGTTTCCTGGAAAACTGATCTGCTTGACACTCATACGTCGAACCCGACAGGAGAATATATATATATATATATATATATATATATATATATATATATATAGCTAGCTAGCTAGCTAGCTAGCTAGATAGATAGATAGATAGATAGATATAAACAGATTAAATATGCATAGGGTTAGATAGATGGATAGATACATAGATATAAAAGGACTTAAATATACATAGGGTTAGATAGATAGATAGATAGATAGATAGATAGATAGATTGTTTGATAAATAGTTATACTTATGAACAGACATAGATAGATAGATAGATAGTTGATTAGATAGATAGATAAATAGTTGATTAGATAGATAGATAGATAGATAGATGTGAACACAGTAACAGAGAAAGATCAATAGATAGATAGATAGATAGATAGATAGATAGATAGATAGATAGATAGATGTGAACACGGTGACATAGAAAGAAGGATGATAGATAGATAGATGTGAGCATAGTGATACAGAAAGAATGATAGATAGATAGAAAGATAGATGTGAACACAGTGACATAGAAATAAGGATAGATAGATAGATAGCTAGCTAGCTAGCTAGATAGATAGATAGATGTGAACACAGTAACAGAGAAAGAACAATAGATAGATAGATAGATAGATAGATAGATAGATAGATAGGTGAAACACCTGTTATAGATAGATAGATAGATAGGTGAAACACGTGTTATAGATAGATAGATAGATAGATAGATAGATAGATAGATAGATAGATAGATAGATAGATAGATAGATAGAAAAATGGCAGCAAATATAGCGTGAAGTTTAAGAAGTGTTAATAAAAAATATACAAAAAACAAACAACACGAAAAATGAAAAGAAAGAAAATTTGAAAAGTACGTCAAAAAAATAATATTAATAAAACCTCTGATCAAGGGAAATCCAGAATTGAAGAGCAAGGGAAAAAACTAAAGATAGAAAGAATTAAATATGAAAAAAAAAATAAAATAAAATAAAATAAAAAACACCGAAGGAAAGAAAGATTTAAAAATAGGAAAATGATAAGACTGAACCAAAAAAACTTGTAAGAAATGTTTTATTAAAGACATCAACAAGATACAAGTACAAAAACTGCTAGAATGTTCTAGTGTCGAAATGTATTAAGTTACAAGATAAGTCACTATAAAAAATAATGCTAAAGAAAGAAAAGAAATGTAAGGATTTACAAAATTGTAAAATTCCAGTGAAGAATATAAATTCAAGCCATCCATATTCCATGAGTATGTATATATATATATATATATATATATATATATATATTCATATTCTTGTCATATATTGGATTATGGATGGCTTTGAATTTTATATTTAGACGGGAATTTTATATTTTATATATATATATATATATATACTTGCATGAATGTATATATATATATTCTTATATGAATATATATATATATATATATATATATATATATATATATATATATATATATTCATTCTTGCTTACATACGGTTATTGGATTATGGATGGCTTGAATTTTATATTCTTTTATATATATATATATATATATATATATATATATATATATATATAGGTGTCTGTGTGTATGTGTGTGTGTGTATAGAAAACGCACACACACATATATATGTGAGTGTGTGTGTATGCATGTATATGGATATATATATATATATATATATATATATATGTGTGTGTGTGTGTGTGTGTGAGTGTGTGTGAGGTTTTGTTATATATATATATATATATAAAGAATACGTACATATATATAATTGTATGTATTCTTGTTATATATATATAGCAAGAATACAAATATATATATATATATATAAATACATACATACATACACACACATTCACACACATACATACTCGCTCTCTCTCTCATACACACACACACACACACATATATATATATATATATATATATATATATATATATATATATGAAGGAACAGAGAAAATAAAAAGAGATTGAATAGTGTACCGAAAAAGAAAATCATCGCTGGGAAATAAAAGCCAGCACTTGTTGAATATTTAAAACAACGCATGCACAGCGAACATCAAATAAAGATATTCATCTTTATTTCGTGATTTTCTGCTAATGTTTTTTTTTTTTTTTCTTTTCTTGTAGGGTAAGGAAAAGACTGCAAATATATATTCCTTACCATAATTTTAAACGCTTATTTCTTGTTCTCAAAAGATACACACACACACATTAAATGCCTCCAAATCCAAACTGTTGATATTCAAATCGGACCCTGCATTACCATCTCTAGTTGCTCTCACAGTGAGGCTCAGCGCCTTGTTCCTCTTTTGGCAGTTAAATTCAACCCTGACTTCAAATGCACTTGCGAAACATGGCGAAAGATCCTAGAAAATTGGTTTGACTGCAGAGATCCGAAGCAAACCACACTGATTCCTTTCGTATTCCCTGGATTAAATCTAAGTTCAACTGGAGTAGCATATTGCCACGTACCGCCATCTTGTGCTATCGCCATGCTTCCACGATCACTTTAATCTTAAATTATTCAGTTCTATGGTCAACCGTTATCTTCATAACATATCTCCATAAACTGTGCGTATTACAATGTTAAAATCTAGTATAATAATAATGATGATGATGATGATAATTATAATAATACATATATACATACATACGTATATATATATATATATATATATATATATATATATATATATATATATATATATATTATTATTATTATTATTATTATTATCAAAATATAAGCAAAAAATTCATTACATGGAATTTTAACACAGAGATATGTAATGTTTGCATTACGAATTGCGGTTACGAAATACTGTGTCAACATTCGATATGTATTTAAAGATGTATTTATGTTTTACACAATTTACATGCGGACTGTTGTCCTCAACTTTGTTGTTATTATCACCTGATCGCCTTCTGTCTGAATTTCTGGGATGAGGAGTTATCATTATTTACACTATTTACATTCGGACTATTATCCTCATCTTTGTTGTTATTATCACCTGATCGCCTTCTGTCTGAATTTCTGGGATGAGGAGTTATCATTATTTACACTATTTACATTCGGACTATTATCCTCATCTTTGTTGTTATTATCACCTGATCGCCTTCTGTCTGAATTTCTGGGATGAGGAGTTATCATTATTTACACTATTTACATTCGGACTATTGTCCTCATCTTTGTTGTTATTATCACCTGATCGCCTTCTGTCTGAATTTCTGGGATGAGGAGTTATCATTATTTACACTATTTACATTCGGACTATTATCCTCATCTTTGTTGTTATTATCACCTGATCGCCTTCTGTCTGAATTTCTGGGATGAGGAGCTATCATTATTTACACTGTTTACATTCGACTATTGTCCTCATCTTTGTTGTCATTATCACCTGATCGCCTTCTGTCTGAATTTCTGGAATGAGGAGTTATCATTATTTTCACTATTTACATTCGACTATTATCCTCATCTTTGTTTTTATTATCACCTGATTGCCTTCTGTCTGAATTTCTGGGATGAGGAGTTATCATTATTTACACTATTTACATTCGGACTATTATCCTCATCTTTGTTGTTATTATCACCTGATCGCCTTCTGTCTGAATTTCTGGGATGAGGAGTTATCATTATTTACACTATTTACATTCGGACTATTATCCTCATCTTTGTTGTTATTATCACCTGATCGCCTTCTGTCTGAATTTCTGGGATGAGGAGCTATCATTATTTACACTGTTTACATTCGGACTATTGTCCTCATCTTTGTTGTCATTATCACCTGATCGCCTTCTGTCTGAATTTCTGGGATGAGGAGTTATCATTATTTTTTTACACTATTTACATTCAGACTATTGTCCTCATCTTTGTTGTTATTATCACCTGATCGCCTTCTGTCTGAATTTCTGGGATGAGGAGTTATCATTATTTACACTATTTACATTCGGACTATTGTCCTTTTTGTTGTTATTATCACCTGATCGCCTTCTGTCTGAATTTCTGGGATGAGGAGTTATCATTATTTACACTATTTACATTCGGACTATTGTCCTCATCTTTGTTGTTATTATCACCTGATCGCCTTCTGTCTGAATTTCTGGGATGAGGAGTTATCATTATTTACACTATTTACATTCGGACTATTGTCCTCATCTTTGTTGTTATTATCACCTGATCGCCTTCTGTCTGAATTTCTGGGATGAGGAGTTATCACTATTTACACTATTTACATTCGGACTATTGTCCTCATCTTTGTTGTTATTATCACCTGATCGCCTTCTGTCTGAATTTCTGGGATGAGGAGTTATCATTATTTACACTATTTACATTCGGACTATTGTCCTCATCTTTGTTGTTATTATCACCTGATCGCCTTCTGTCTGAATTTCTGGGATGAGGAGTTATCATTATTTACAATATTTACATTCGGACTATTGTCCTCTCTTTTTGTTGTTATTATCACCTGATCGCCTTCTGTCTGAATTTCTGGGATGAGGAGTTATCATTATTTACACTATTTACATTCGGACTATTGTCCTCATCTTTGTTGTTATTATCACCTGATCGCCTTCTGTCTGAATTTCTGGGATCAGGAGTTATCATTATTTACACTATTTACATTCGGACTATTGTCCTCATCTTTGTTGTTATTATCACCTGATCGCCTTCTGTCTGAATTTCTGGGATGAGGAGTTATCATTATTTACACTATTTACATTCGGACTATTGTCCTCATCTTTGTTGTTATTATCACCTGATCGCCTTCTGTCTGAATTTCTGGGATGAGGAGTTATCATTATTTACACTATTTACATTCGACTATTGTCCTCATCTTTGTTGTCATTATCACCTGATCGCCTTCTGTCTGAATTTCTGGGATGAGGAGTTATCATTATTTACACTATTTACATTCGGACTATTGTCCTCATCTTTGTTGTTATTATCACCTGATCGCCTTCTGTCTGAATTTCTGGGATGAGGAGTTATCATTATTTACACTATTTACATTCGGACTATTGTCCTCATCTTTGTTGTCATTATCACCTGATCGCCTTCTGTCTGAATTTCTGGGATGAGGAGTTATCATTATTTACACTATTTACATTCGGACTATTGTCCTCATCTTTGTTGTCATTATCACCTGATCGCCTTCTGTCTGAATTTCTGGAATGAGGAGTTATCATTATTTACACTATTTACATTCGGACTATTGTCCTCATCTTTGTTGTTATTATCACCTGATCGCCTTCTGTCTGAATTTCTGGAATGAGGAGTTATCATTATTTACACTATTTACATTCGGACTATTGTCCTCATCTTTGTTGTCATTATCACCTGATCGCCTTCTGTCTGAATTTCTGGAATGAGGAGTTATCATTATTTACACTATTTACATTCGGACTATTGTCCTCATCTTTGTTGTCATTATCACCTGATCGCCTTCTGTCTGAATTTCTGAATGAGGAGTTATCATTATTTACACTATTTACATTCGGACTATTGTCCTCATCTTTGTTGTCATTATCACCTGATCGCCTTCTGTCTGAATTTCTGGAATGAGGAGTTATCATTATTTACACTATTTACATTCGGACTATTGTCCTCATCTTTGTTGTCATTATCACCTGATCGCCTTCTGTCTGAATTTCTGGAATGAGGAGTTATCATTATTTACACTATTTACATTCGGACTATTGTCCTCATCTTTGTTGTCATTATCACCTGATCGCCTTCTGTCTGAATTTCTGGGATGAGGAGTTATCATTATTTACACTATTTACATTCGGACTATTGTCCTCATCTTTGTTGTCATTATCACCTGATCGCCTTCTGTCTGAATTTCTGGAATGAGGAGTTATCATTATTTACACTATTTACATTCGGACTATTGTCCTCATCTTTGTTGTTATTATCACCTGATCGCCTTCTGTCTGAATTTCTGGGATGAGGAGTTATCATTATTTACACTATTTACATTCGGACTATTGTCCTCATCTTTTGTTGTCATTATCACCTGATCGCCTTCTGTCTGAATTTCTGGAATGAGGAGTTATCATTATTTACACTATTTACATTCGGACTATTGTCCTCATCTTTGTTGTTATTATCACATGATCGCCTTTTGTCGGAATTTCTGGGATGAGGAGTTATCATTATTTAAATTTGGACTATTATCCTAATCTTTATTGTTATTATCACCTGATCGCCTTCTGTCAGAATTTCTGGAATGAGGAGTTATCATTATTTTCATTATTTACATACCCGACTATTATCCTCATCTTTGTTTTTATTATCACCTGATTGCCTTCTGTCTGAATTTCTCAGAGGAGTTCTCATTATCTACACTATTTACATTCGGACTATTGTCCTCATCTTTGTTGTCATTATCACCTGATCGCCTTCTGTCTGAATTTCTGGAATGAGGAGTTATCATTATTTACATTATTTACATTCGGACTATTGTCCTCATCTTTGTTGTCATTATCACCTGATCGCCTTCTGTCTGAATTTCTGGAATGAGGAGTTATCATTATTTACACTATTTACATTCGGACTATTGTCCTCATCTTTGTTGTCATTATCACCTGATCGCCTTCTGTCTGAATTTCTGGAATGAGGAGTTATCATTATTTACACTATTTACATTCGGACTATTGTCCTCATCTTTGTTGTCATTATCACCTGATCGCCTTCAGTCTGAATTTCTGGGATGAGGAGTTATCATTATTTACACTATTTACATTCGGACTATTGTCCTCATCTTTGTTGTTATTATCACCTGATCGCCTTCTGTCTGAATTTCTGGAATGAGGAGTTATCATTATTTACACTATTTACATTCGGACTATTGTCCTCATCTTTGTTGTCATTATCACCTGATCGCCTTCTGTCTGAATTTCTGGAATGAGGAGTTATCATTATTTACACTATTTACATTCGGACTATTGTCCTCATCTTTGTTGTCATTATCACCTGATCGCCTTCAGTCTGAATTTCTGGAATGAGGAGTTATCATTATTTACACTGTTTACATTCGGACTATTGTCCTCATCTTTGTTGTCATTATCACCTGATCGCCTTCTGTCTGAATTTCTGGAATGAGGAGTTATCATTATTTACACTATTTACATTCGGACTATTGTCCTCATCTTTGTTGTTATTAT